CAGAGGAACCTTTCACATGTTCCCCTGCTCACAGCTCCAAGCTACTGAGATGCACCAGGCTTCTGCTGCCTGCGGGGAGGAAGGGGGGAGCAGGCGCCTGGCAGAGGGAGCTGTGCCCTGGGAAAGCCCTGTGGATGAACCATTTTCGTCCGGGAAAGATGCAAGCAGTCAGCAGCTCTGCACAGTGTGCTGCCTCTCCCTCCACAGCCACCAGTGTCCTCAGTGTCCTCGTTTTAAGCACTTACAGAAGGCTTTGGTTTTTGAAGCCCAGCAGATCCCTATGTTGCTTGTCCTGGCTTTGTGTGGGCTGCTTGGTGGGACAGCAAAACTCTTTGCGGATGTCCTCACCCCCTGGGGAAGGTGACATCAAATCCGAGACGTTTCAAGAGAAACTGAGAGGATACGGATGTAACAAATGCTGCCTCTTATTAAGCAAAAGACAACCATCCTTCCTCCCCCCATAGCAACCCGATGGAGTCCCAAAACACAATCAGTTTAGGCTGAACACTGGGCTGTCGACGAGATTAAAATTAGACTCATGAGCTTTCATCAAGGGAGAATTTAACTGCGGTGCTCAATCAGGCTGCAAAATCCTCTAATGACAATTGAAATAAAGTCATTCAAGACACATCCTTACGTGTCGCAGGAAAGAAAGTCTGCCCTTGGCTGCATCACTTGGCAAAGTTATATTTGGTGTCTCTTTTGCCTTCCCCTCCCTGTGTGCACTGCTGACTTGGGGCTGTATCCTCCCCAGGCTGAAAGTCAAGGCCATGATCCTCCTTGGGACAAGCTGCTCTGGGTCCCCTGGCTCCGTGACTGTCCTATGGGCCACGTCTCATAGGAAATGGCCGATAAACAGGAGACAAATAAGATGGGAGATGGGTTTGGTGTATGGCTCTTTCAGGACAGTATAAACCCACAAAAGCTATTGAGCCCCACATGACAACTCGAGGGCTATTTCAGAGAAATTATATGTTGGAAAAAATGCATCAGTTTAGAAAACCCTTCTATTTCCAATCGCTCCACATGGAGAAGAAGGATGGCTAAGGAAATGTTTCCTGTGCCCTGTGCATGTCTCTGCAAGCTAAGCATCACCAGGACAGCTCTGCTTGTCAGAGACCTCCAACGCCTCCCAGCTCAAAGGGAATAGAAAATGTAAATACATGTCACTAAATGAGTTTGGAGCTGCCTCCAGTTCTTTTAACCTTGCCCTCACGAGGCTGCTGCAGAACTGAGCTCCCTGAATCAGCACTTTGAAATCACCTTGCAATAAAAATTCATGCCTTTTCCAACATCCGTTTTACACATGGTCCTGCCCTAACAAAACCGCGCATTTGACACCATTCTCCTTTCAAGTTTCAGCCTGATTTCAAGCCGAAAGGGGTACCCCTTTTGATCATTTACCTCTGTGTAAGTCCCAAAGGCATGTGAAGCATCTGGAATGGTACTGAATAATCAGGCAATATCTCTGTCAGCTTCCTGAAGTAACCAGTGGCACCCAGCCCAGTTCCACATCACACAGAGAAGTGATTACTTGCTTTGCCTGCAAGCATGTTGTGAAAACCCAGCAACTGGTAAAATTGCCTTTCTGCTCACACAACCCTCATCCAGCCAGGTCCATCAGCACACACCTAAATTTAGGTGCCTGTTCATCAAACTGAAATCAAGTCTCTTCTGCTGCATGGGGATAAACCTGAGTGCTTTGTTAATCAGGGAACTTGTGTAAGCCGGGTGGATGTTTAATATTCAAATATAATTATCATCTAGTGAGGGAGCACTGAACGAGTCTTGTCCTGATTTAGCAAGCTCTGGGGAAAGCAATGACAACTCAGCCAGTGTACACGACGCAGGCTCTGTCCTACAAATGTCTTCCAGATCTTGCAGGGTTTTTCTCTTCAGCACCACGCAGAGGTCCTGGGGATGTGAAATCCTTTTTATTTCCAGCTTCTTGATGCTCCTGCGAAGGGAAGAGCTCTTTTCTTAGGTCAGGTGCTCACAGTTCCAAGTTTGTCTCTGACACATAAGATGTCCAGAGGTGAGTAAGGGCAAGATTTATGGGCTAGACTCTTTATTATTATTATTATTATTATTATTATTATTATTATTATTATTATTATTATTTTCTTTCCCTCTCAAGAGGAACAAAACCTGGGTAAAATTTCACATTCATCTTACTACACTCCTTACATGAATGACTTCCACAACAGTGAAGCTACTGGCATTTACCTGTCAGCAATAAACAAGCAGTAGCAGCAACAAAAGAGAGGAAGGCAGGGATACAGCATTAAAAGAGTGTTTTGTCTCCTCCAGACACCCTCCATTTCTGGTTACTGCTCAGGATGATCAGCTTCCACCACTGCAGAACTGGGCACACCAGAGACACCACGTCCCTATGCAACAACAAGCAATGACAGAAGGCATTCAGGGACATTTTGTGCACATGCCACCCTTCCTCCCTGTCAGGAGGGGATTTTTGGTCTTCCACCCTTGCATCCCTCCTCCTTTTATGAGCTGTTCAGTGGCTGGCTATGAGGCTGCTGTGGGCACTAGAGCGCCCTTGTGGCTCGGCTGCCTGCCAGAGATGGGTGGGCAGTGGATCCCACCAGATTCCCACACAATCCTGCACATTCCCATACACACGTGACTTGCCTGCATTACTGGGAACTACTGATGTGAGAGAAATGCTGGTAACAAGCACCCCGAGTGAGCAAAATGCTGTCCTGGATAGGGCAAGAAGAAGATTTATCAAATAAAATAACCAAGATCTTGCATGGTAATTTTGCAACCCAAAAGACAGTTATCACCTACCTGCCTCTTTGTAAGAGAATGTTATTTTCTCTGCAAGTAGAAATGTTTAATAGAAGTGTTCTTCATGCTTAAAAAAAAAAAAAAAAAAAAAAAAAAAGGCTTCTGAAAAGAAGTAATGAAAGTCATGAGAGCTCGCTCTTTCCATGACACATAGCTTTCTTTTGTGCAGGATTACTTAGCATTGCCGCTCTCCTCCTTGTCCTTACAAGCAGGACAAACAGCTGACATAAGATGCATATTCTTCTTGATTCATGTTTTCTTGTAAAGGAATATATTAACTTCCAAAGGAAAAGTCACTTCCAAAACAGGAGCTAAACATTTTTAATTCTCTTTTTTTAATTCTCTTTCCCCTTTATAGCTTTTACAAGCAATTCCCCAGTTAATGTTTTGAAATTATATGCAAGACTTCAACAGTTTTGTGGGATTTTTTTTTTGTTGCTGAAGCTCTTTGAATTGGAAGCCTTAAAAGCTTTTCCAGAACACACAACAGCACGAGCAAATGAATTTGCCATTTTCATTCTTGTTTTTATTTAAATGAATGGGAAGCAGCGGGATACTTGTTCATCATTAAACATTTTTTTTTTTTTTTTTTTTTTACTTTCATGATGGTGAAGAAAGCTTGTATGACAGCTCTAGAAACTGAAGGCAGGATTTGTGTTTGCACCGTGACCCTTCAGAGTGCTGTGGGAGTGTTTTTAAAATAGCTGCATGGGCTACTACGCCAACGCATCACTCAAGCCTCTTCTCTCTTATTACACAGGCAGGACACGTGGGGGGTGACAAATTTAGCATGCCTGCAATTTGGGGCACTCACCTTTGTGGGGGAGCCAATTCTAACCTTTTCCTCCTGCTCAATTCGTCCTTAGGGGGAAGGTTTTTGTTTGCTCCTTTCTGATTCTCACACAGACGCGTTCCTGCTGAGATCTCCACATTTGATTGCCCCTGAGCAGGCAATGTTTGGCTCTCACCGCTTAGAAGAGAAAGGTGTTTCTTTTGACAATGAGCAATACCCATCTGAAGCGCTAGCTCTGCAGTCTGTAAATAAAAAGCAAAGGTTATGCACAGCCAAGTCACCCAGCTAGGTCAGAGAGATTAATAAAGCAACTTGGATTCTCTGTTCTGCTCTGAGCCTTGTCTTCAGTCAGCCATCAGTGTCTGGTAAAGAAATGTGTTCCTAACTCCATCCCTTCCTCCAGGACTCCTCCCAGATTCCCTGCAGCAGGCAGTGCCTTGCTTCCACACATTCCTAACCCATCTACCTTTGCTATAGTCTGACAAAGCTCCACAGAATAAAATATCTCAACCTCCTACATCTCACATTGTACATCCCTGTTCTCACTTGTATTGAATTTTCTCTCAGGCTGTGGTCTATCCTAACTTTCTACTCCAGCATTTAACTCAGTTTCTTTTTTCCTTACTTTATCAATTTATGCCTCATGATAAATCAAGACATTCACAGAATACTGCAAGTACAACTGCAGAAAGGTACCTTCCTTAGGACTCTCCTGCCTGAACTCAATACCATGGTCTCCTCATCCTCTGTATAGTTGCACCTGAAGGACATAATTTCTCTTCTCACCTGGTGTGAGGTCAGTCAGGATGAGTGCCCCAGACAGCTGGATGGAGCAAAGGCCACCTCAGCTAAGGTCCTCTGTGTCCATCTAAACTGGAACCACCCTCTAGGTTCCTCTCTAGCACCAGCTCTGATAAAACCCCTAAACCCCTTCAGTCTTTTTAGGCTGTGTCTGAGCAGGAGAGGAACCTTCACAAACAAAAATCTGTCTTCAGCTGTAAGTGCTGGTGGGTTCCTCTAGATCTTGACCCAGCACTTAATGAAGGACTGAACTTGGTGAAATACCTAGAAGAAAAGGAAGAGCAGGAGGGAACCCTCTCCACAGAGTAAATGGAAGCACAGGTACAGGTACGAGGCAGCAGCCTTGAACTGACCACGAGAACGTCACTGCAGTTTGATTTCATATTTCTGAAAGGCTCCTTGTTACAGGAAGGCTTGTGTACCTATGGCAAGTGGGGATCTCTGGACTCACCTTATCCTTGTCACCACAAACGAATAATTAAATTAAATCAGATGCAGGTGAGAAAGATCCAGCCTTTCTCTCTCCTCTTTGGAACAAACACTTGAGAATTGCTAGCAACCATAAAGAATAAAAGACAACTTCAGAAGAAAAACAATGTTCCAAGAATCATCACAACTCAGATTTTTATTCAACAGCAAAGTTGAAGGGAATATTGTTTTCTCCCTCCAGGGCAAATGTTCCAAATGGAAATTAAGTAAAAATATTGCCCCCCCCCAAAGTACTCACAATGAAATTAGTTTTCTTTAAATATATTTGTTTGGCAAAATAAAATAAAAAATTAGAACCCGTACAAAAAAAAAAAAAAAATCCCTTGCAAATTCTTAACACTGTAGCAATGACAACAATGTAAACCTGAATGTTTGGCAGTTATAATTAATTTGTGGAAATTACTATTGAACTTTGGACCAAGAAAATAAAAATCACTTTGAATAACAACAAGCCAATTTTAGAGGCAATTGAGGCTTAGAGAATGCTACAGGGACAGGACACAATGGTGGCTTCATACACAGTTCGTACTAGTGATCTGCTAGTGTAGGGCTATTTAAGAGCTGGGAGGAAAAGAAGTTAAAAGCTGTTGCAGCATTGCAGCGTATAGTACAGCAAAAACCTGCAGACTTTCCATTGTGGGAGCCGATCAGTTGGGTGAAGGCTGGTGACGAGAATTGAGATGGCAGTGGAAAGAACAATGACAGTGACGAATGCTGTGAGTACTGGGAAGCAGTTAACATTTTTTTGTCATTGCATTGGATTCAGTTGTGAGCAGACTCTTGGGAGTGCCTGGGGAAATCTTCTGCTTACAGTAGCTGCTTCTGATCCCTACCTCCCCCCTCCTTCCAGTTAAAGCCTCTGCCCTGCCAAGTGGGTGTCACAGGCATGCAGTTTGATAACATCGTCCTTTAGTTAAGAATGTCTATTCCAGTATTAAAAATGTAAAAAAAGTCCTTGGGAGGGTGCTTCTTAGTGGCAGTCTTTGCCTTAAGCAAGGCCACTGGCCTGCAATTAAAAGTTAATTAAAGCAATGTGAATTTGGATGAGCAATGGGGAAGATGGGAATGGGGAAGGATGGGATGCAGGGAACAGGGAGGAATGCAAGTGTTTCTACACTCCTCCCCAAAGCCAAAATCCAAGGCGCACAACCGGCTTTTCTTTTTTTCTCACAAACTCTTCTTTTCTTTTCTTTCCTTTTTTTTTTTTTTTTAATATCTCTCCAGTTATAATATTTCCAGTTTCGAAGCAAGTTTCAATGGCAGCCTCAGTTACAGTCATAAACAAAGTCGTAGTTGCTGGGCTCCTTTGGGATAGGTGGGGGAGCATCTGGGATCTGTATGTTTTCCAAGTCAAGGAGGCGTAGCTTTATCTCCATGCTGAGCAGCGTGTCTAAGTCGTTCCGCGTTAGATCACTCAACATATCCTTCCCAAGAAGGGCATTCAGCCCATCGGTCCATACACAATACTGCATGGGGAAAAGATAAAAATTATCATTAATAGACTTTCTGAACATAAAATTGTTTGTCTGGCTTGGTCCTCCACAGTTACTGCTCCTTCAGGGATGTACACAGAGACCTAAAATGAGGTCTACCAGCTTGTATCATGAAGAAGGCATGTTCCACTGATGTGCTCTGGAAATAGGTAAAGAACTCCCTTAAACGGAGAAGAAATGACAACATGTAGGTGGTTGGGCAGTTATGTATCTCCTCCAAGCTTCTTGTTCTCAACAGTTATGGGAGAAAGAATGATACCTAACCTAGGACACTGAACATCTGGAGATGCCTCCTTCTCCCCATCTTTATCTTTGCCCAGTACTTAGAAGAGAGCCTGATGATTCTACACTGAACTTTTAATTCCAAGACAGCTAAGTTAGGTGAGGTGAATACCAGCCAAAATTCACCTTTACTCCTTCCATAAGAAATCCTCTACCAACTATCTAATTTACAGCAAAACAAACCATAGTAAGGTGGTGTCAACTGACATGTGTGGGAATAGGCTCCCATTGACATACCCATGCCTACTTTACCACTATTTTACAGAGCACAAAATAACATACCGCAAAAGCTGCAGTCAGTCTATGCTGCATCCTTCACGAAAATTAAATGCCAAGCTACCCGGTGTAATTCCAAATGCTGCAAATGCTGAATTGGCCTCTAAAATCCCTTCTCTTTGTTGTTAACTTTTTCCTAATAGGAGATTCTTTCCCAATGACTGACAGCTTGAGATAAACATGGGCTGAATATTTTAAATATACAACAAAACAGTTGGAGATTGGTGATCTACAGTCAACTTAAATCAGATAAGTCCCTTTCATTTATTACTATAAGCCATTTATGCAACTATGAACAGAAGTACTCAAATGCTACCATCTAAAAATAAAGATTGCAATCATGAACTTGTGTCCTAGTTTGCAGGAGAGAATTAAATCAACCGTAACTACATTTCTATCTTATAAATACTTCTGCTAGATTTCATGCCAAAAAAATGGATTTTAAATTTAGCTGACCATTTGCTACATGATATTGCCAAGTTTAAAGATAGTCACAGTTGACTTCATCCTACAGCAGAAATGAAGATTATTTTTAAGACAGAGAGAAAACCCCCTCTTGGGGTATGTCTTCATCTAGAAAAAGGGCATGTGTTTAAAATAGGATAGTTAACACACTTCAACTTCCAATGTGAAATCTGACCCATTTAAGTCAGTAATAAAACAGGAGCAGAGCTAGGATTTCACCCAGGGTGTTGGAAAGCCATGCTGCAGCTTTAGTATGAAATTAGCTGTCTAGGAAAGACTTGATGGTTCAGGCTGTCCTGCTCACAGTACTAAGGAAGCAATTACCGTGCCTGTTCTAGGCCCCCAAAGTATGTCACTGAAGACTTTTAAAGTATGCAACTTTTGTGGAGTGTATGCAGAATATCAGGAAAAGAGCTATCCTAGAAATGTAATTATTTTAAAATGTACTACTTTTATTTATTTTTTACTATCAACTTAAAATCTTTATTATGGAAAGTTTCCCCGGTATTCATTTTAAAAAAAGGAACAGAAAGGCAAAAGGCTCTGCTCAGGTTACAGAAGTGCAGTGCATCCATTCAACAGATGCAGGACCTGACGTAAATCGTCTATCACCTGCTCAGTGAGTATGGCCAGCACTTTCTCTGGGGAGGAATCGCAGTGAGCCAGAAAGCAGAACTACAGTTCTTTCCTCTTCCAGGGCCCACAGAAACCAAATTCTGGCCACAATTCAGATGAGTGCAATGGCCTGGAAAAGGGGCTTCCTCTCTAATCTCCATGTTGGCAAGTGCATCTAATTAAACTCCTGCACATTTTGAGCAGAGAGAAATCCTAATGAGATGGTGGAAAAACAGAGGCACTCATTCAGAAGCTTTTTTCTTTCTAACACGCAAAACAGACTAAGAGCCACTGAAAAATTAATTTACTACAGATTCATTTTCATAAAATTCCAATGAAACCTAATTATAGCCTCCCTCATCAGTTTCTCTGTCAAAAATCAAGGATAAGATTAATCCACCTTTTTGCTGTGTAGTTGAAACCAGCTATTAGTATTCAAATGAAAAACAAATACGATGGAGTGATCTCACAGTGCTGAATTCTCTGGCCAGCAGTAAGCTCCAACAGATGGCTAAGGGTATTGCCAAATTTAAGTGTGCAAGTGCGAGGTCCAAATCTCAACGACAGTGGTTCTGTAATGAGATTTTATTAAAGAAATACCTTGGGAGTCCAGCAGCAGAACCAGACAACCAGAAAGGTTGTGCAGGTTCCATTCTCGAAGGTTTTCCAGATCCATCTGGATACAGCCCCGAGCAACCTGATCTGAGCTCACTGCTGACCTGCTCTGAGCAAGAGGTTGAACAGGGGACCTCCCAAGGTCTCTTACAATCTGAATTATCCTACGATCCTAGTTCAACTTTTGTATTTAGGTCACACTCTATTCCCAATTCAAATCTCTCTACAATCACAAGGACTGCAGAAGTATTTGAAAAAAATCACCCAGTAAGTCTGACCTTACAGATTTCATGTACCAACATAGTGTGCTAATATTTCTGGCACTTCATGCAAAGCTATCCATATCATGAGATGTGACCTATCAAATTTCCCAAGTTGACAACATGGCTAAACTAGCACTTTTATCAACAAGCATCTCAGTCACTTTGATGAAGAATCATGAGCTTCAGAACAACTTATTTGCTTTTCCTCATGGGTGTTCCCTCTGTATACTTGTAATTTTTACTATAATTGCAACTCACTCCTCTGTAGGCCATGAAAAAGTACAAGGGAAGGGAGATGCCCATTGGGAAATGTTCACTTGGGAACTGTGAAGTAGCAGTAGAGATTGCTGCCTTTAGTCCCTTTTTTGAGCATATTCATTTTGTTTCAAAGAAGCTGCATATGATCAAAAAGAGAAATAGAGATAATAGGTGTGTTATCACAATCACTAGCAAGGGGTTAGTACATCTCACAATGCTACTGCCCATCAGTAGAATGCAGCAGCAGTTTTTGAACATTTAGAACATTAAAATACACTTGAAACCTTAAGCTATGTTTGCCAGAGAAGTAGCTGAAAAATTTGTTGATTTTCATGACCAATGGCTCTTACGAACTGAAACAGACTAGAATTTAATTTCTGGAGAATTTATATCAGAAAGCCTCTAACATACATCCAGTTTAAAAGATGAAGACGATCGTGTTTGGCTTAAACTGACAGCTCTAATGGTGCATTATGCCTGGATCCTACTGCTCGTTTCTCTTGGATGAAAATTTACCAGCAAATCTTTCTCTGGAATGAACATACTTGAAAATGACACTCAAATATTAATACCCAGGAAAATCCAAATGAGCATAACCTCATTTCTTCTCCTAAAATTAACTTTTATTTGAAGGTTTTTATCCAGAATTGCAAATGTTGAAGCTGTGTAACTAAATATACTTCACTTGTAATGCAATTTCATGCACTTTAATAACACTACAGTATAATGCAGCTAAATGCAGTCTTCTGTGTTTCATCATCTCAAGGCAGTGTCCTGAACTGAGACCACATGTGACACCATAAAATAATTGTGCAGATGAAAAACTAACTCCTGTGACTTTGCAGACAAGAACGGAAAACTTTACTGCTTCTTTACTTTTTTAACATAGGTACTCTGCTAAATCTTTATTTGAAATTCCAAGTTCTTGGAGTGAATCACTTGTGATGATTCCACATAATTAGATAAATTAGTTCCATCATCTTCCAAAAGGCAATGATGTTGTCTATTTTGTTATCAAGTAAGAGAAAGGAGCAGGGGGGAGACTGCCATTGTGCCTTGCTATTTGTATTTACACTGCCTTTATGCAAGTGAGACTGATTGCAAATCCCCTTTGCATCAACCTATGGAGATGCAAGAGAAAGGACATTCTGTGATCACCTGACATAAATGGTCTTAAGCAACATGAAATGAAGAAAATGGGGATATGCTGTTCTGAAGAACACAAATCATTGGCTGAAATTGAGACCTAGAGATGGTATAACTTCCCCTGATTATATTGGCACGATCAAGATGAGCTGAGGAAAGCAGTGATTCATGGACAGCTTGCCTGTGCATATCATTGGCGTTGAAATAAAGTTCACCAAAGTGAACACACAGCAAAATACTCCAATGTCTAAGGCAGACCAGACAAAGAGAAATCTTTATTGCACCAGGAAATGATGAACAAGGTCTGTGTAACTGTGAGGTCTGCACCCAAGCTCTTTTCTTACTCTTATAGTATGCATTTCAGTAGGGCTTAGAAATATTGTCCTGGAACTCAGATCCCATGGTGCTCTATGGTATTCAAATAGAAAACACGTAGCCCAGGATATGCATGAAAATTGCAGAAGGTCTTGCTCACATACTAATCCCTGTGCTTTCAGGTTGTTGTGAGATATGTCACAGGTTCAGATTGTCCTGTACTCTGTGACAGGATGACCTTTCTTATGTTCTTTAAAATCTGGCTGCTACCACAAGGGAACTAAGAAGGCTTCAAAGAAGTTTCTGCACCCTTAACTTGACTTACCTCATGCTTGTCCGGAGCAATGAAATTCAACTGGCCACTTGAATCATACAATATAGAGAACGCAAGCTCTAGCACTTCCTGGAATAAGAAGAAAGAACATATGTTAACGCACCATGAGAAGCAATCAGGCATTGAGATCTTTCTTTCTTTACTACCCCTTGTTCCCCAAAACAAATGAGAAAATAGGTTATGATATTCCCCTTGCCTGGCCAAAGGTGCAGGAGTACCTGACCACTGCACAACAAGAAGCCCAACACAGATGCTTCAAGTGAAGCTAACTCACCTTGCCTACTGCTGACTGCTACCCACTTGGTCACAGATTAATTTGAGTTCAGATTTGAGCTAGATAATGTTGAGGACTAAAATCAATATAATCCATAATAGTACACATATAACAAACACTCTGTGAAGGCCCATGGTTTCTTCAATTTGCATGGATTGACTTGCAAACTAGCAAAGTTCTGTAGGTTTGATTCCCTATGTCAAAAATCTTGTCAGGACAGTTAATCTTCTGATATATACTGATGTTTTTGTTCACTGCTGGAAATCTGTGAAATTATTCATTCTCGGGAGATTTCTGTCATTTTGTCTTTACCTGAATGAGAATCAGCAGACTCAAACTGAACAATCTGGCTTACTTGGTTGTGAACACCAAAATTAATCTTGGGAGAGGATAAATCATCATTTTTCTCCTCAGCACTAAAGATGGAATTTTAAAGGTTGCCAAAGTGAATTCATTAAGCATAGGTCTTCCCTAAAAGGCACCTGGAGCTAGGTTCCTACAGGGAAACACAACCAATTTGAATAAATAATGAAATTTCACTGTCCAGCAGTAAGCACATAATGTTATAATGGTTACTGCACACATCACTACAAGCGCTGCTACAAGAATTTCACAACCTGTAAGCTAGCTGATACAGAAATAATTACTTTATGGGGAAAAAAAATATGGCTCCAGCAAGAGAATGCTGACTCAGAACTACTTTGATCTGTATCATAAGTCCTATTCCTTAAGCCTCTTAGCTTCCTGAGGCTCACAATCCCAATACTGGTCACCTTCACTGACTCTCAGCTGACAACAGGCCCTGCACACCAGCAGCAACAAGAGCATTGATTCTTAAATTTACTACACCTAGTTTTAAAACCGAAGATTTGACTGCAGGAACTGCAGCATACGTGTTGGTCTGGATTCCTAACCTGATCTCGTGATTCAAAACTAGCACAGATTCTTGGATTTCAGTAAGGGTTACTTCATTTTTGAACATGTCTGATTAAGAGCAGAATCTGAATCATAAAAACTTGTAATCCTTAGGGATAATCTTGGCTGATCAGAGATCAGGATCTCATGGGAAATGCCGTTGGTTTCCTTGAATTTAGTTATTAGGTCCAATTTGCTGTATTGCCAAGCCACAGGAGACAAGTCCATGCCCAAGGAAGCTGCAGCTACTAATACTGTTGGTGCATTAAGCAAACAAATTGCTCATGTTTCACATAGCCTTTTGGAGTTTTAGGCATGTCTCTCAGCCACACCTTATTAAGAGCGATATCCCTCATAGAATCATAGAATCATAGAATCTCCCAAGTTGGAAGGGACCCATAAGGATCATCAAGTCCAACATTACACAAACAAATTTACCTCTGCCCACACAAACCTGGCATTATCTCCTCACAGAGTGTTATAAATTACTGACATCAGAACATGCCAAGTCATGCAACTGAGGTTGTGAAAATGAAATACATCATTGCAAAAAGGGCTTTTACTACTCTACTATGAAGCTCCTGAATTTCACGAAGGTCAACAGTCCTACAGGCCTCGTCTCTGAATATTTGTCCTTTGAGGAATTTTAAAGGACTGAAGATCTTTATCTCAAAAAAATGTAAAGAGAAAATTCCTGCCTGAAAGAGGAACATCCCAGGGACACCCAGGTTTGGTCATTCCCAGTCAAGTAGACAGAAAGGCCTAGACTGAAGGCGCCAAACTTCCTTTTATGTGGGAAAGTGGAAGTTTGGCAGCCCTGACTCCAGTTCAGCTTCTTTGTTGGCTGCTGTTGGGACTAAAGGCTCAGGGATTGCAGCTTCCAGGTTCCAGCATCTCTATCACCTCAGGCACAGCAAACCATCAAGGGAAAATGGAAGCCTAAGGAGCTGGAGTTGCCAATTAGCCCTCCACACCGACAGTGGTCTCAGTAGTTGAGCTGGCTGACCTGTGGCTGACCACCCACATGGTTTTGTTATGTTCTCATCAACGACAGGTGAGGATTTTGAGGAATGAGCAGTTCCTAAAGGAAAAGTATTAAGTCTCCATGTCTGTGGCTTTCTCTTCTGTTTTCTGTCCTACTTGTCAATTTTTCTCAAAGTCAATTTCCACTCCGGCCTCGTACACCAGATCTAGATCTCTTGATCTCTGGTCTTCCTCCCCTATCATTTCTTCCTTCCAGGAGAATCAGTTCCTTCCTTCTTTGTTTTGCTTTACTTCTCCCCACCTCAACCTGATGAACTCACTCCTTTGACATTTCTAACTCCTTCCACCCTTGCACATTTCAGACATCTGTCCTTCCTTAGATGCTTGCCAGAGGAAATGGCACTGGGACCCACAATGTGCCTCTCTTTTGAGGCACGTTCATGAAAACAGGAAAAAAGAGGCCTCACCTGGTTGCTGGACATTTCAGTTCCACAGGGAATTGAATTTCAATTGGTTTCGATTTCACAGGGAAAGCTATTGCAGGTGGTATGAGGAGAAACATGCTCTTCCACTCCCCAGACTTCTCCCCCTCTCCTTCAGTCTCTGATATAGGCCAATAGAAGACACACTATTTATGATAAACTGATATCTTAAGTCTCTATAGCTGATTGATCCTATGCAGCTGTAATGACCTCAGTACTTCTCCCTACTCTGTCGTCATCAGCCTCAGCCAATGTCTTTTGCCAAAGGCTGAGATAACAGCCATGTTAAGTTTACTTGTCAGAGTCAGAAGAACCTCTTCAGAGAATTACATGTACATGCAGTGGCAGGGCACTTGTTCAACCAACATGAAATAAAAGGGAAGCTGCAGAGGAACAGGGAAGTGAGCAGAATCAGTTCTGCTGAATAAAAATGCATCAAGTCTGAAGCCTGCTGCATCAGCAAATACAGGTTGAAAGAAGAATATATACAAATACACAGCAACATTTTATCCAAATTCTTCTCTCAAGCTTTGTTTTGAATGCTGTGAAATCTAGTATATTTCATGTCCTTGAAATTCATTAATATTACCCAAGAAAAGATGACTTCAAATTTAAGAGCACAAGATGAAGAATGATGGACTCGGGTCTGGTCCTATCATGCTGTTCCAGCTTCATAAGCATGCAAATTCCAACTCAGTTTAACTCTTATTTATTTCTAAATGATCCCACTGGAAGAAGAATAGCCATGTGCCAGCAAATGATGAGATGCTGAAGCCTTTGTTATGGACATTCTGCCAGTTCCAGCTATATTCAGAGCAGTGGCATTCTGTCATTCTATTTTCTTTTCAGCCAATAAATAAACATTAAGGTGGTCTATATATATATACACCTTATACATACATACACACACACACAGAAAGTGCCAAATGAAAAGACCTCTCAAAAAATACATCACCAAGTGTGAAATTCCAAAAAGGGAAAGGTTTCATACACCAAAATCAGCCAAATTGCATTCCATGCTGGGCTTTTTCCTTTTCATCTCACTGTCCACATTAACTTGGTACTCAGCAAACAATGATGTGTTATTCCTATGATGCTGGTTAAATTGTTGCAATATTGTACAACAGCTGTGGATGCAGATGTGCTACCTACCAGCTCCTGATCTTCACTCACATCCCCAGCCAGAAGTTTAGACCAGTCCAAAGCTATTTTACCAAAGGAAATGGGGCAATGCTGATAGCTGAGGACAAAATGATCTGCAGCTCTGCTATTTAGCATTATTATCTATACATTATTGCTCCATAAAGATGACACATTTCCGTCACTGACACCCACTGCTTTCGTTGCTCCTATCTTTCCTCTTTGTGAGGACATATGAGAGCTAAGACAAGGAAGCACTAAAAATACTTTATATGCATCATATAAATGCCCCAGCAAAATGCTGTTGATGGTTCATCTGTAACTTGAGGCATGAGTTGTATGCAATCTATTGTGCATGTGTGTTAGTGCTCTGATTCCAAAAATTAACAAGGGAAGATACTCCTGGGACTTTTTTCCTCGTTTGGCTTGACTTTTTTTCATTTCTGACCGTGTAAAGTTAATGCTGAAAAGAGATGATGGTATCCTGATAGATCTAAAGCATCTTTCCCTGTGTTTCTTATACATGAACAATTGAGATGTTCTGTGTATCTCTCTCCAGCCATGGTTAAGGCAAGAAAGGTCAGAAATGAAGCTGCAACAGTGGTGTGACATAGTTTTGACAGTGTCCTTTCATTTTCTATAGCTCCTCTCAGAATTGTTTTCTCCAGATTTTATTTGAATACTAGGTGTGTGCATTTTGTTTTCAAAGTCTCGAAGCAGGAACTCGTACCTTTGGAATTTTGTCCACCAAAATCTCTTTCTAGTTGGACCTCAAACTCCTCAATTTCAGGTAACTAGAAACTGACTCAAATCCTCTAATCCATCTCACAGAGCTCAGGGTGTGGTTCTAGGTCAGACTGAACATCATTAGGATCTCATTCTTACTTAAAAGGTCAGAAAGCACAACCCAATGGAAATTAATATATATCATACTATATGGTATGAATACCTTCACCATCAAATAAGTGAGACTTTGCTAGTAATTCAATTTCTTCTTGCTGTGATGGCAATTGTTACTAACAAAAAAGTGCAAGATTCAACTTGAGACTTAGCTTAAGCTGAGTCTGAAATTCTGAAAGGTAGCATAAATCTAATTGAAGCTGACCACCATGTCTCCTATTTTTTTTCCAAATACATTGCTGAACACATCCTTATTCACTTCATTAACTGCCTAGCATCGACCGTACATCCTTTTGTTGGCAGTAATCTTTTTACCTGAATGGATTTGAAGTTATCAACAGCTGGACATTAATTGCAATTTTGGCATATGCCTGTGCTCACTGTATGTCAGCTCATTGGAGAATACAGCCTGAACAAGCTAGTTATTTATCAGAGACAACATAAGAGTAGGTACCAACAGTTACTGCTGCTCTACTCTATAGCAGCAGTCAAAACCGCTTGACTTCAGAGGTAGAAGGCATCACTGTTAAAGACTATCCCAATGTGCTCTGGGCATATTGCAATGCACATCTGTCACGGAATGAGTAAAGGAGAATAGGCTGCCCTAATAATTTAACTCAGATGGGCTGAAGTGAAAACAAAGTGTGTGTGTGTGTGTATACTGAAAGGTGGCAGGCTGGAATGAAAAACACCTGTATTAGTTTAGGGAAGGTCAAGTTGACAAGCGTTGTATTCCAGGGTATGCATTTATAAGAGTTTGAGAAACATACCTTGTTTTGTTTAAGAGCTCCTTTCTCCTTCATGTGAGGGCAGTCTTTCCCAGTCACAACAGCTTTTATATCTGCCACTGGCACTGCATTAAAAAATCCAAAAGTGATGATGAAACAAAACAAAACAAAACAACAAACAGGAAAATAAAAAAAAAAAAAAAAAAAACAGAAAATGAGTTATAACCAAGATGTGTAAAAGCTACAGAATCTAAAAAGAGGCAAGACCAGCATGTTAAAGCTGTATACAAACACACACACCACCATTTCCAGTCTGTTCTAAGAAATAAATCTGTAAGAACAACTAGAACAGGCATCAGTGGTTCCTGACAAAATTTCAAGCATCAAGCAATTTGCTTGGCAGAGAAGGACCTGGGAGTATTGGTGGATAGTCGGCTGAATATGAGCCAGCAGTGTGCTCATGTGGCCAAGAAGGCCAACAGCGTATTGGCTTGTATAAGAAGCAGTGTGGCCAGCAGGTCTAGGGAAGTGATTGTCCCCCTGTACTCTGCTCTGGTGAGGCTGTACCTCGAGTACTGTGTTCAGTTTTGGGCCCCTCGCTACAAGAAGGACATCGAGGTGCTCGAAAGAGTCCAGAGAAGGGCAACAATGCTGGTGAGGGGTCTGGAGAACAAGTCTTATGAGGAGCAGCTGAGGGAGCTGGGGTTGTTCAGCCTGGAGAAGAGGAGGCTCAGGGGCGACCTTATCGCTCTCTACAGGTAACTTAAAGGAGGCTGTAGGGAGGTGCCAGGATGAGCAGGAATGGGCTAAAGTTGCACCAGGGGAGGTTTAGGTTGGATATTAGGAAGAACTTCTTTACTGAAGGGATTGTTAGGCATTGGAATGGGCTGCCAAGGGAAGTGGTTGAGTCACCATCCCTGGAGGTCTTTAAAAGACGTTTAGGTGTAGAACTTAGTGATATGGTTTACTGGAGGACTGGTTAGTGTTAGGTCAGAGGTTGGACTAGGTGATCTTGGAGGTCTCTTCCAACCTAGATGATTCTGTGATAAAAAGCTGGTATTTGCTTGCCTGTTGAGATTTGAGGGTGATGGAGCACTGGAACAGGCTGCCCATGGAGGTTGTGGGGTCTCCTTCTGTGGAGATATTTAAGACTCATCCAGATGCCTGCCTGTGCAGCCTGCTCTATGGAACCTGCTTTGGCAGGGGGGTTGAACCCAATGATCTTTCGAGGTCCCTTCCAACCCCTTCAATTCTGTGATTATGTGATTACCTTGAGAAAAAGCTTCTCATTTAGACATGTACCTGCATCTTGATAGTTTTTATGTGTAATCGGTGTACTTGTGTACATAGCATACACTGATCACTCTCTTACTTAACGTACTATGCCTGCCCACTTTTTGCTCTTCCCCAGACATCTGGAGAGAGGATCCTGGGCATGTTGGACCCTTGATCTCACTTGATACTGCTGTCCTTCTGTTATTGCCTCTTTAAGTTTCTCAGATATAAATATATGTTTTTTTCTTACTGCCATCAGCATTTTAGTCACTTCTAGTACTAACAGGAATGAGGACTAGCAAGGCTTATAACAACCCGCTACAACTGCTTTAAGAAGAAGAATTACCAGAAATCATTAAAAAAAAAAAAAAAGTTATAAAAAGTTTTGGAAGCTGCTGTCACCCAGACTCACTCAGAGAGTATACGTCATGAGGTCATTAAATCATCAAGACAAATTTCTCTAAGCTTCAAGTGGAAGTCAATTTTCCAACTGTAATTACATTACAGAGAATCTATACAATCCACAATACAATACTGTCAGCAAGAGACAAAATTTCTACAAACTATAAATTATCTATAAATTATTCATTATCATTGCAACTTCACAAAAGGAACATATATATAGAACAGCATAATAATATGAAAGCCTGAGACTTCAAATGGTACCAGAAGATGACTACAAGATCCTGGAGGGTGTAAGCACAGGTTCAGTGTGCTCACAATGGATAAAGCTCTGAAAAAGAGGGCAGATGCTTTCTGTTCCAGCTGGAACAGTTTGTTTAACTGTGCCAACCTGAAGAGAGAAATGACATTCACAGAAGTAAAAACGTCTAAAAAAATAAAAAATAAAAAACAAGAACAACAAAGCACAAAACAAACAACAACACAAACAAACAAAACAACTAACAAACAGAAACAAACAAAACCAACCAAACAAACAACAAACCAGCCACCATTTATTTTTGGAAATAGACACTAGTTATTCAGGCTGGGCAAGGAGCACACAAAATGTCCTATGCTACTTCTCTCAGCCCTCCAGTTTCTTACACACTTATTTTCTTTTATCTGTTGACCTGTTCACAAGTACTGACAATCTTAATGATCAGCAAAAGTGAGAAAAGTGAAATCTAAAGGCACATCCTTCCCCAGAGATGGAAACCACCACATTTGGTGGACATGGAGAACATTAAACATCATATTCAGACCTTCATAGCTCAAAATTCAGTATATATCTATACAAAGAACAACTAAGTATTTTTTTGAAAATATTCTGTAAAATTCCCAAGCCAGTTTGGCTCGACTTGTTTAAAATAGTGCCACTTTATAATATCACATCTTGTAATATTCTCAACTCTGTTTTATTAAACTTTAATGTGGGGCACAGTATGGTAAATCTTACATCTTTCACAGCCTGAAAAGTCTGAGAAATGTAAGAAATAACCATATCTTCCTCAAACTACATCAGGACTTGCACTGCCAGCAGGCATGCACAGGGAACACATGGGTCTGATCCACTGGTTCCTAAAGCAGGATCCTGATGTCCCAATGGGATTGTGACATTCCCAAGTAGTCTCAAGAGCATGTGCGAAATGCAAATGCAAAGTGAAGCCTGCAGTCCGGGTAGGGGTTTTGAGCATGGAAATATGCTCAAAGCAACCAAATCTGGGAACTGCTGGTCCAGGAACTGTGCCTGCAATTCAAGTGCGACCTTCATTCTTTTTCTGCCATTCTCATACTACTGTAACTTTCAAGGGCAATTTCCCTAAGCCTTGTCCAGTAAAATAATGTCTTCTAGTGCCAATGCAGCAATTTGAGAACCTGTACTACATTCTGCCAAGACTGCAGTAAAAGCCTGAAACATCCTGGAGGAAGGTACTAAAAACAAGTGAATGTGACCGTGAACTGTCAGGGCTCCAGCAGCAGACAGGTTCTTCCTTACCTCCCAGTCTGTGTCTGGGAGCACTTAGAAATTTTAAAAGGTGCTGCCTGCAGATAGGTTGGGGGACCAGAGAAGAGAAACAATTCTCTGTTTTACTAACACACAGAAAAGTTTAAATCACTGATTCTCTCCTTTCTCAGTTTGCAGGCTGGAGAAACTTCTGTCATCTGCAAAATTATTCTTTCTGTCATTTCATGAAAGAAATAGAACCACCAACTTGAATACTTGTACAAGTGTATCTGATTTGATAATGCTGAGAATGGCATTTATTACTAATGGCAATTCAGAAAAGAACAACTAAAAAGGATTCTTTATTCAATGCTTGATTTCTTGATGTCATTTTGTGGTGACGGAACTACACTGGTCATTGTCTCAGTCATCAAAAAAAACTTTCCTGGGACTGCAGCTTGAACCTCTACAAGTCATGTTGAAGGACTAAGGAGAACTTTTCATGAGAGCATGATTTTCTGAAGGGCTCCAAAATGACTTTGGTCCCTACAAAATATCCCAAGAAATCTCATGGTAGGAGTTGTCACAAAGGCATGTCCCCTGTTACAAACTAACTGTGAGGTCCTATCAACACCACTCACAGCAATCAATGTGTTGTCTTTAAGTCCACTTGCCATGACAATGAAAAAGACCTCTGTTTGCCATGGATTTCTCCTCCAGCCACTAGATTGCTTGCAGCAAAAGAAACAGCTGTCTCCATGGACAGGAAGCACTTCTGAATATACCAAAGTATTTTAATGTGACATCTGCAGTTAGATGAGGAATGAAAATAAACTGTGTTCCTCCCCATGAAATGCATGACATTTCCAAGCTGAATGAAATTATAAGCTCATTGGGAAGCTGAGCTCAGTCCTCATACATGCTTGCCAAAACCAGAACAGCAGTGTTTGAATGCATGAGTAAATGTCCTCTGCTATCTATCTTCATGAACAGAGTTGTTGATAATGTCCTGTATTAAGAAAAACACACTACCAGTTATAAAGAGCTTGAAAGAAGCAAAAGTAGCGCAATCCCTGTGCATGACTTACATTTATCTTGCAATGAATCATGAGGGACTTCTCCCTGGGGACTTTCTTCTAAGTCTCCGTAGTGCAACACCTTATGATTCGGCGAAAGTCGACAATACCAAAATTTGTCTGTTAAAATAAAGGCATTAAAACAAGGTCACTGACATGTCTTCATTAGCATTATCATCTCGATACTCAAATGAGGCACTACAAGGAAGGACTGTCCCCCCCCCGCTTTCTTTGAAGAAGAAATATTTCTTATGTATGGAAAGCAGGGCAGGGACTTTGCCCAGTAATTTCACTTGCTTAAACATAGCTGGCATTCATTTACCATTTCTGTCTTGATTTTGCCACTGGTTCCAAGGACAAATACTAGCAAGAAGCAGCTAACTTAGTTTTACATGATATTTTGTTACCCATGATATACATCCTAGGTAAGTAACCACTGCATTTAGCAGCTAAATTTAACACACCCATAAAAGGTTCATTATTTTGAACCCCCTATGTGAGAATTAAGCCCTGCCAGATGTCATCTGTTGCACATCCAAATATTGATACATTTGAAATACTCCATAACTTTAGAAAATTTTGACTCATGTCTTTTTGTAGTTGAGAGAACACTCCCATATTTATGGGGAGAATGAACACAACAAACACGCAAAGATTTTAAAAACATTAAGTCCATTGTCTTGCAGATAACTCAGTGGTTGGTGTGCTCACAAATGGGCATGTATCACATTCCTCTTTGCATTTTAGCCCTTCCTAGGAGATGTATACTTATGCCTCCTGCCAACTCCTGTTTCTCAGGATTTAACTGCCCTTAGTGCTATTTGTTAAAATCTAACCCCTGGAGAACATCAGCTTTGCAGAGCAGGGCTACCACGCTGCCTAGCGGGCAAGGGTGGTGCTTGCCAATTCTCTTTCTGAAACAGCAAGAACAAGGTTACCTTTTCTTGTCAGGGCACTTTCTATTTAATAAATAGATTGCAATATTAAGCTATCAAAAATACAGTCTTGTTACAGCCAAGCTATAAATCTCCAGAAGCTTAGAGCAAGGCGAGACGTTAAAGTGCTGGGGGAAGGCGGGGGGCTTCTCTGCCTCTGTGCTCCTCTCGCTGCAGGTAGCACTGATGCTGTGCCAAGCAGCAGCCGAAGGGAGAGTTTAGGGGAAATGCTAGCACTGACAAAGCCCCATCACGCTGCTGTCGCCAGGAGCGGATGAAGCCACAGCTGGGATAAAACGCAGGAGGAGCTGTACAGTCACCAGTCTGTGTGTTAGCAAAGCAAGGACTTCTTCGCTCCTTCAGTAAAATCTTCACAGACCCTACTTCTTTTTAAAGGACCCTCTGAAGTACCCTAGCCAGCCATTTAAAATACAATGCAGTATAACACAGAGAAAGGCAATTCAGTTTGAATGGCAAAAGTGGGCTGCCATACAGCTTTTTAGAAGATTTTGTCAAAACGCAAAAATGTTTGGAGAAAATAAACCACACATTTCCAACCACTTACTGAGTGTGCAGCCCCTTCTTCTGACAAGTTCCAAAAGACCTTACTAACCACTGGCAAAAGGTCAACACAGTGATGGGGAAGATTCTGTTTACTTGCTTCTAAGACATACACACTACTAAAAGGTGTGTGGGTAGGAGAGCCTGAGATGATGATTCCATGATGCATAGAAAAAGAGCTGCTTAAATATAAGCATTCCAGGACCGTAAGCAGCACGTACCATATTGCACAGCATGGGGTCAAGAGGAAAATCCCACTTACAAAGCATTTGTAGGGATTTGAAACAAGAGCAAGCAGGAGCATTCATTCAGTAGATTGTCATCTGAAGAACACACACAAAAGCAGTTTGTCGGGCAGCTTGTGCATCAGAAACTTTGTGCGTGTGAAACTTTTCTAGATTCAGAAATTTTACAGAGAACTCTACCAGAAGCATTTCAAAACCTGACACTTAAAAAATATATTCTGTTAAACCTGATGATAGACCGTCTTGCGCCTTGTCTACCACAGAAAAGCCTCTAGTGATTGTAGCAGGAGGCTACATACCTAGCTTTAACTGCAACTTCGGTGTTTCCAAGACTGTTCAGGACAATATATCCTTCTGACACTAAGATTACAACTACCATTTTTTCCCTAATAAAAGCCAACTTGGTCTCACTACTTTGTCAATAACCTGGTGAAGATGATCATATAACTGGATAAAGTAAAGTAAAATATTATGAATTCCTTTTGACTTAGTGTGGGGCTATAGTTATTATTGAGGGTTTGTAAAAGGTTTCTTCTTCAGCCTCCTAAGAGTTAGACCATTTTGGTAACCTTGTTCCCATTCCAACCCCCTGCTCCAATAACAAAAGGAGAAAAGGCCCAGTGAAAATTTCTGTACTTCATTTTCACAAAGAGGTGATTTTGTCATAAGAAAGCCTTGCTCTGAAGGGTTGAGAAGCCTCTTACAGCAATTCCCCATAACCCAAGGTTAATTAAATAACTAATAGCCGTAGAGTGAAGCTTGAAGCACGTCCAGTGCAATCCTCCTGTGGGCTCACAAATAACTGCCATTGCACCACAGCGTGGCTGTCAGGGGGAAAGCCCTTAAATGAAACCTATAAATGGAACTAATGAGGTTCCCTCAGTCGCAGCCACTGAGCGACTGCAGCAGCCAGGCTGAGCAGGGCAGACAGCACATCAGTGATGGGGCATAACTGTTCTTGCCTTCCCGGAGCCTCTACAACCACCTCAGCCTTAGTCAGCTGGGTTTCTTCTTTTCCTCTATGTGACGTTACAGTTTATCAGACAATAACCCACTTATGCGAGATCACGGCGCCTTGGAGGGGAGCAGCTCTGAATGGGATGTATGTTATTTTACTAGTACAGGTGCTGAATGCAATTTTGTTGGAAGTGGAGTGTATAAAGTAATGCTGCAGTCAAAATAAATATCGTATGAAATTGTTCCCACTGACAAGGGTGAAAGAAGCCTTAGTTACACAAGAGCATGTGGGAGGTGGCAAGCATTTACTTTCAGCTCCAAATAGATAAACCAAAAAAACATGTAGAAGAAAAAAAGAAAACCCTGAACTCTTCTCTACTATGATTAGAGAGTAGTGCTTATAAAACAATGAAGAACTACTGACCAAGACCTCCAGAGCTCTTAAATACAAATCTGTTAAGCTGAAGTGCCATGAATTCTCAACAGCCCCTGCACTCCTCAACAGAGATCTGTGTGTATGTATACACACTGAAGGAGGAGTGGTTGCTGAACACTGAGTCTTTAGATACAATGTGATTTCATCACAATTTTCAGACACTAGCATTTAACATTGCCACTGAGTTATCTATCTCTTAGTTCACTGACCTCTGATGCAATCAAATTCAAGTGCTAGAGATTCTTCTTTGGGAAACTGTAGTAGTCATTCTGTTGTGATTTTTTATTTGTTTGTTTGTTTTGATTTGTTTTTTAAGCCTGAAAAAGTTTTAAACATTTAAGCTTCAAACAATTGTTAAAACAGCTAGTGGGTTAAACATATCCTAGCACATTGTTAAAATAAGGTTAAAAAAATCCTGAATAGCAAAACCAGCTACCAGTTTGGATAGAAGAGTAATATTCAAAACTGTGACAAAATAGTACCACAGAACATTTTGACGATGGGCTACAGAGTGTGTGGCCATTCATATGGTATTTCCACGTGCATTAATGTCCAATGACTCATACACCCTTAACAATGCTATCCTGAGTGAAGAATTGAGGTGGTTAGTACAGAAGTGCTGTAGAGTTAGACCTCTGGAGAGAAAATAGCTCAGACGTCCAATGAAAAAAGTCTGTGAGCATACCTTTTATCCCAGGATATGTTCCAGAGTACTAAAAATGAAAGGTGGGTTGTTTTTTTTTTTTTTTTAAAGAAAGGCTTGATCACACATTTAGCAAAGGGAACACACGTGTAATAATGTCAGTAAAACCTTCCAAATTTGGATGTAGCTTTTAGATACATGTTTGTGGACTCACCCTTTCTCTTTCACTGCGCTGTTTCTCTAAGATACTTACCACAGTGACACACTGTCACTCTAACTGGTCTTAGCTGGTTAGATGAAAGCCACCAAGTTCTGAAAAGGCTTGGCAATTAATTGGCTTGTGGTAATGCCAGAGGCACTCTGGTTAACCAGTTCCTCTCAGCATGTCACATACTTGAACAATATTATTTTTATGGGAGTGTGGAGGGTGGAACAAAGTAGCAGCAGTAGCTTTTTGCAGAAAAAAGACGAAGTGTGTTCTCATTCAAAAGTGTGAGTCACTTATTCTAGCAAGAGATGGAAAACTTGTCTTTGCTTGATTTTTTTAATTTTTCTCTTTCCAGGTTACTAAAAAAAATATTCTGCCTTGTGTTTTAATACAGTGTGCATCATCAGGCTTTCTTTCCCTTCCAAATATAACTGTTCAAGAAACCTCGTCTTCGACTGCAAAACCACTTTGATAACATGCAATTTCTCTATAATCTTTTATACAGCTAAAAGGGGAATTTATTTCCAAGAGTACACTCAGCAACAAACTACAAATATACTGGATGACAGCTACAGAAGTATCTATTATTTCCAATAAAATGTCTTGATCTGCTACTTAGCTTTACTGGAAAAAATAACATTTAGGGCTATAAATAGCTTTGTAGGCTTTCGACTTAGTCTTCACCCCTTTTTTTCAGGAATTACCAAAGGAAGGAGAACAATGAAAAGGGCTGTCTGTCAGCTGATGTCCACAATCAGAGAACAAAGTGGGGACTTGCAGAACTTCAAGACCTGTCAATGAACAGTGACCAGAACAGCAGACCAGATTTTACTGTTTCATTTCCTATTGATTAAGAATGCCTAATAAAAACAGGAGTTAGTACTGCAGTTCAACCATGAAATGTTGCAAGGCAAAAGCCATGTACTCTTTGCAAGTGGCAAGGATCCTGCTGGGATGATAATACATGTAGTATTTCTGGATTTCAGCTGCAGAGAGACCCTGATGAACAATAATCCCGTGCTGGAATACAAAAGGCAGAGATCTGACTGCAGATACTTCACCACTTAACCTTCAGCCCCGCTCCCTGCAAAGAATCACCTGTTGGACTGGATGTGTTCCAATGCCTTGTATGTAAGAAATGCTTTTCACCTCCTCTCAGAAGGTCGTAAGAGGATGCAATCTCCCTCCTTGTTTGTTTTGTTTTGTTTGTTTTTTGTTTTTTTTTTGTAAGTCAATTGTTTCGACTTACTGTGACTAACCATGTGTGTCCTACCACATGTTCAAACAACAGTCTAAATGGAATTTATTGTGGAATAATGCCAGTTAATTATTTTTTAAATAGGCAATTTAACGCTTTCAGCTTCTCCTCTGTAGGCAATGTTCAGGTTCCTCTTGTGTAATCTGTAGATTTGCAACATTTGTCCCAAGATTGTCTCAAGAGAAAAAAGAATTATAGGAAATGTAAACGGAGCAGTACACACAGAGGTAGAACAGCTACCTGATCTCACTACTCTTACAAGGGAGGTTGCCACCTAACAGGCAAACCGTGATGCCTCACAGCATTCCCCATTCCTGTTTTGGCGCAAAGTCAACCTGGATGGACCATGGCCATGCTCCACAGCAAGTGAGCTGGGGCAGTGGGCAGGTGATGGGGCTCCTGCAGATCCTCTCAGTAAGCACAGGGCACATGTACTGTGTGTGGGGTGGGTTAGGGGTTAAGAGATGGGGAGGTACGGTAAAGGTAAGAGAAGGCACATTCAGGAGTTTGGGACTTGTACCATTTCAAGTAGGACATACAGGGGACTTATCTGAAAGCTGGTCTGCCTTGATGTTTATCATCATTTGCTATGCCTCTTGTCCTTCACTTTAGCTCATCTTCTAGTTCTTGATATCATGGCAGGCCTGGTTTAGAGCTTGCTCTGGTTGGGGTACAGGCAACACTGAAGGAAAGAGGCGAGTTTCAAGAGAGCTTCTTCCACTTTGTGTCAACTGCAACTATTTGCTATTTGGACTATGCCAGGCACTGTACATACCTTAAAAGGGACGCTTCCCAGTTAAGCAGTTTATAAACCAAACATGTTTGTGTTTACAATGCTTTTCTTGTTCATTGGATTACATAGTGTTAGACCTTGGTGAGTTTTGTCATCTTTAGTAATGGTTGTTTTATCTTTTCCCTCCCTTTTTCCCAGGGGGATACCTTACACTTTCACTTCAGGGAATAGAGGAAGACTGACATAAGGTACACACAACTCTAGGGCATGTGGAAACATGCCCTTCTAAATGAACATTTATCTGACAAAGTGAAAAAAAATCCAAACCAGTAACCACCAAACCAAACCAAACCAAACCAAACCAAACCAAACCAAACCACCTTGGATTGGGAAAATAATCTTCTCATGTCAATCATTATTTATCTGAATGTAAACAAATTACTGATCTAAGTGCTTTTTAAAAGTACATTTGAACTCCATAATATATTTAATGTATATGGTAATTCATGGCAAAAACTAAGGACAGGCAGTACCAGAGGGAAAGGTACAAAATGAGCTCATCACATGTATAAAAGTACCGAACATCTGTTATTTGTTTAGTAATATAATTTAAATAAACCTACAAGAAAATAAATGATCCTACTCCAAGACACTCAAATTGTGGCTACACAAAGTTATATGTGCTATTCCTGCAGAGGTAGAAATTTTATTCTGAGAGATCAAGGAGACTGGACACCGAGGCAAAAATGGAAATACTACGTTCAGACTGCTGCTTGAGATTTTCATCAAATGCTGAAGTTATTCCAGATGAAACCAAAACTAGTTCCAGTGAAATAAAGAAAATTCTACAATTGCAACCAGGAGATTCTTTCAGATGTTCCCTAGTAAAAGCAGTCAAGACAGCAATAAAACCAAGCTTCTTGTTAGTAAGAGCAGTACTCATCATCTCAACTTTTAGACAGAAGTGATAATAAAAAGTCAGACCAGGAAGTCTCAGCTGTACCTTGTCGACGTCGACTGTTGAGTTTCCTAAAGCAGGTACCCTCCACAAGTCGATTAAGACGTTGTTGCTTGATCAGTTCTAAGATCTCAGGCTGAATCTTCTCTTTTAGTTCCCTTGGGAGGAAAGAAAATAGGCACTTTTGAGATTGAATCAAAATCTTTCCTCTAAGATTGAGAGTCTCACAAGATGTTTCTGTCCAAAGGAGACAACAGTGAGAGGCATGCCCAGGTCAGAATCTAGCCTGCTCCAGAAAAAAAAAAAAAAAAAAAAAAAAGTTATCTTATAGCAAGGCATGGGAATCAGGGTATCTCTGTTCTAGACATCTCCCCACTACAGCATCAGTGTATGACTCAGACAAGTAACTTACTTGTTTCTCAGTTTATGCATCTAAAAATAACACTTCCTATAAAGCATCAACAAGCTTTCTCTGCAGCAAATAATGCTCTTTCATTGCAGGAACATTGTGAAGCTTATTTGAGGGTCTGTCACCTTTTGTTGCACAATCTTCTGCTAGTATACTTTACTAGCATTTAGGACAACACAAGAAGGCTAAAACACACTTTGAAATAGCAAGAAAAAACAGCAATGAGCAATGCCAATGAGCCAAAACCATTACCAGGTCTATATGATTCTTATTGATCCTATGCAGTTCAATTAATTCATTTCTAGCAGAATTGGGTGGAAGAGTAACCCATGATGGGGACTGCTCAAAGATCAAGTTTTACCCTTGCCTGGGAGTGCAGAAACCTGCAGTGCATTTAGAAATGTTATTATATATCCTTTAGGAAATCTATTTTCTTCATCCTACTTTGATAAAAGAGTTAAAAGTGTCAAGAACTAGGTAGAAAAAATATGCGGGTAATATTTAAAGCTTGAGTTCATATACCATCACATGGATTCAGAGGTGTCTGAATTCATCAGTTATATCCTCACTTAGATTCATTAAGAATACATAAAAGACAAGTTGAAACATCAACTTGACAGTAAGCCTGGTAAGATTAAAAAAATAACTGAATGTGTAGATGGTTTATAAAATATGAAGTGTGTCAGAACCATAATTTTGCATTGCTGTGCACATTAGGTAATACCAAAAATCATTCTGTCTGGCAGTATGTTCCAGCAGTCATCATCAAACGAAAGCAAAGCTGTGCTATTCCATCGATAAAATAAAAATGTGTCACTTAGGAAGTTTGGTCTCCGCTGATTTCCACATTCACGTGGATCCTGTACTTTTGATCTGCCAACACCCCATTGAAACCACTGGAAGTTCTCTGTTGAGACATCAGGGCTTTAAACAGAAATGCCATCATTCTCCGAAGTATTAACAAAATGGTTGGAGTACCTGATGCATACCCCACAGCGTATTTACAAGCTGGGAAAATATGGCTGGTCAAAAAGCAAGCAAGCATTGTAACTATAGAAACAGGCCACCTTTCAGAAATGTACTCTAATTCCTTTAGGATAATTTCAAACACTATGGTTTTCTTATTGAGAACTAAGGTAGGAAAACACTGAATAGTTAAATACTATGATCAGAACAATTTTGTGCTTGAATAAATGTCTTGCCTTTCAGAGCTGTTGTGCTTCCCCGTTCTTCAGGTAAAAGCTGGGAGCAGGGGCAGAGGAAAACCATGTTAAAACACAGTGCAGATTACTGAACGGTCTAAGCTATAGGCTTTGTCTCTAGCTGGATTGAATTCAAACATTCAAAATTGATAAAAACATCAGTGTGATGTTTAGGTAGTTTAATTTAGAAATTAGATGACTGTCATTAAAGAGGTGTTAAAGATATCATAAGATTATAGTTATAAGACACTACTGAAAAGAAAAAAAGAAAGAATGGGTCATCCAGCACATTAACATCTGGTTATTAAAACCCGGAGTATTCCCTCTTCTGTCCTCTAGAGTCCCATCTGCCCTTTACAAATCAGAAGAAGAGAAGGATTTCTAAAAAAATAAACAGGTAATCTCCTCCGAAGTACTTCAGTGTCTAAGACAGACTTTCCACAGGAGAAAGGAAGGTAGGAAAGAAGGGAAGCCTTTTGCCTCTTTGCTGATGTGCCAGAGCTCCTTTTGCCTCTTTGCTGATCTGCATTGTATTTGTCTTCACAACAGAGAAGCTCAGAGGTAGTACTTTCTTCAGTTTTACAGTCCCCATGCTTGAGCACACAGAGGAACAAAGAGCTAAAGGAAGATCATAAATGCAAATATATTTTTGGAAAAATTTATTTATTCTCCTTCAGATGACATCAACTGAACAGTTTGTGCCTTGTGAAAAGACAGAGAGAACAAACGAGGAAAGTCTAAGGCTTTAAAAATTTGCTGTTAGCTTCCTCCTGTGTTCTGTGATGTAAGAATGACAAAAGTCAGTGGGCTGATATGACAGAAGGGTTGAGGGAACTACAGAGTAATATATGATCAGTAATTTTCTGATCTCACTGGTCTCAGCACTATAGGCAAAATCCTGCCATCAGTTACATGCTTTTAAAATAACAGACCTGTCTTCAAATCTGAAAACTATTGGATTATTTTTTTTAATTATTCAGATGAAACTAGCTCTTCTTCGGTACTAGTTCAAACCAGCAAATTTCCATATGGACAACAGAACTTTATCCAGTATTAAACCATCCCTATTTCCACATAATGTGTCAAGGAGATCTCTGATTCTCTACAGGCCAATAGGATTCCTTCCTAGGCACCTTCTTCCACAGCCATTGCATATAAACCAGTGACTTTTTATAGTTTTGTTGTGCAGTGGTGGTTTGGATGATCAGTAATGATCCCAAGCTCATGAATGCTTTCTGTGCTGTAGGACTTCTTCCTTTCGCTCTGAAAAAATGAGCTCCATGTGAAACAATGATCATATAAAAGAAACAATTACTTGTTGAAAAAAAAAAATGTTGCTGCATTTACAGGGATCTAGAGCAGTACTTTCCAACTTACATTCAAGTCCAACTTAACTGAAACTTCCCTCATCCAGCAGCTTGAAAACTCAGAACATCAGTACTTCATACAAAGAACAACAAAAGAAAGACTTTTATCATGTTAAAGGCAGGAAAAAACATCATCTGACTGCCATACACTCAAGCAGAATTAAACAAGGCCCACTGACTTTACATTCAGCTGTGCACAATCTCTTTTAGCATACCTGTAAGGCTTTAAAATATACAGCACAGCCACGATTGCTCTCTTCACTCACGGTCTCTTTTCCTAGAATGGGACCATGATTCTGTACTTCTATCAGTCATGTCATCTGTGCAATTTGAGAGAGTTCAGTACACGGAATCAAATCAAATGGGAAAATGAAAGAACCGTTTCTTTTCACTGTCAAGAATAAGTGATCATGGATGCAATCAAAATGCAAATGCATACAGCCAAATCTCTGCAAATGCAGTTGTGATTGCTTAAACACCTTATCAATTTAGTTAGCCTCTATAGCCTTTAGGCTTAGCCTTTGTCCAGAATCTGAAATGAGTCCTCTGGTAACATTTCATTTGCTTTTAACTATTTGAGTTAGCTGTTTCATTCATTCCATGATAAGGAAGGAAATTCTGCACTGTGGCAGCAACTAACCAGAGCAATACTGCAAATAAAGAGCTTGCAGAGGGCACTAGCAAGTTTAGCAGCTAGGCAATGCTGCACAAGAATATAAATAGCTGACCTGTATCATAGTTAAACAGTTGACTCATAGGGGAGGAAGCAAGGAAAACGAGAAGCTTTGGTGACAAGCTTAGCACTACTGAGTAGCTTGGAACCACTAAACATTGCAGGGGAATGGCAGGGGATTTCTGAGTGGTGTAATGATGCAAAACTGACTGGAACCATTTGTAACTGTTTAATTGATGCATTACTATGAGTGACATCAGTTCTAATTGGGCATTAGGTCCTATCTTCTAATACATTGAAAACATAAAAGAAGCATTCTCCCTTTGATCCACATTGGTATGATTAAAATTTAAGTGTGTAATTCCACTTAGTTTATGCTTCCGCTGTTGCCCGACTGCCCTTGGATGAATGTGTCCCTGGAGCTCATACTTAGATATATCTATATCCTTTAGAAACAAATCAAAATGAGCATCTTGCATCTGAATTCTCAAATTCCCTAGTCCAAATCCTTCTGTACTGCTTTGCCTTGTAAAGGAGATTTGGAAAATCATGAGCCATTATACTTCAAACACAGTCAAGATTTCATGACATTTCAACTGATGCTTCTGGAATCCTCACTATTTCTCTGCTGATCTCAAAAGGTTCCTGCTATTCTCAGCACATCCTTTGTGCACTGCGGAGTCTGAACCTGTCCTGTGCCATTTGTTCAGCCATGAGCCTTGGTCCAGAGCCAAGTACAGCCTCCATTTTTGATATAACAGAACAAAGGATATTCTGAGCAGCAGGCAGGAGCTGTGGTGGTGATATTAGCATTTGATTCTTCGCAGTAAACAACAGAGAAATGAGAATCCCATTGTCTTTCAGCCAGAATTGATGTTATCATTTACAAATAAATAACAGCTTTTCATTAACACCAAAGATAATGCTATCAATAAAGACAGTAATACGTAACCCCACTCTTCTAGAGTCAGTCCTCTTGTTCTTAACATCTTGTCTGGCTCAGAGAAATGGCATCTACAATTTTTAAAGGCCTTTGGAGAGAAGACAAAGTTTTAAAAAATACAAATGAAAAAAGTCATTCCTGACAACAATATCATAAAAAGGCTCATAAACACAATCATACAAAGCCAGGAAATGTCAGAGCATTGTTTTTTACAAGTAAGACAGGTGAGACCCTATAGGGATTTGATAAATCTGGTTTAACTGAACTCAAAGAAAAAGTTGGGAGTCCCAGCAGAAGAAAACACACACACATTGTGCAGATAGATGCTGCACTACTGCTTTTGAGCACAGCTCCCTGGACAGCTTTCTCACTTCAGTTTCCCCTGAAGAGCTGACAAACATCATTCACATGTGTTAATATTTCCATGCAAAAATAGGTTAGGAGAGAAGACAGTACTTACAGAATTGGACGAGACTGGAAATCTTCCTGGTTCATTCTTTCAGACTGACGTATTTTCAGTATTTCTGTGTAACTGAGATTCTGAAGCTTGCTCTTGAACTGATCCAGTGAGCTAGGCTTGGTAGTGAGTGCTCTCATTATCTGTTCTTTTACTACCTGCATTACCTGTGGATGACAAAGAAGAGAAAAGAAAACCTGTGTTAACACCTTCTGTGTTTTTGTCTCAAATATTATTGTGTGTCAGACTAAGGTTTCCAGGTTGTATTGGGTTTATGGGCATCTGTAGAGAAGTTCCCCTGTGGCCTGTGGAGAGGCCCCTGGTGGAGCAGGCTGTCCCCCTGCAGCCCATGGGTCCCACATGGAGCAGATCTCCATGCTGCAGCCCCCCCATGGGTGGAGGAGCCCCTGGTGGAGCAGGTGGATGTGGCCTGGAAGAGGCTGCAGCCCATGGAGAGCCCCCGCAGGAGCACGCCCCAGGCTGGAGCTGCAGCCCGTGGAGAGGAGCCCACGCAGGAGCAGGGGGGCTGGGAGGAGCTGCCCACCCGTGGGGGACCCGTGCTGGAGCAGTTTGCTCCTGGGGGATGGATGGACCCCGTGGGATGGAGCCATGTGGGAGCAGTGCTTGAAGAGCTGCTGCCTGTGGGCAGCCCCCGCAAGTTCAGCTGGGGAAGGACGGCATCCTGTGGGAGGGACCCCACGGGGAGCAGGGGCAGAGAGGGACCGTGAGGGAGAGGCAGAGAGGAAGCATCAGGGACTGTCTGCAGATCCCATTTCTTGTGCTGTTCGGGGGGAGGAGGTGGAAGAATTGAGATTGAAGTTGAGCCTTGGAAGAAGGAGGGGTGGAAGGAAGGTGGTTTTAGTTTTTTGTTTGGTTAGTTGGTTGTTTTTATTTTGGTTCTCACTGCCCTACTCTAATTGCCGTAAATTAAATTAATCTTCCCCAAGTTGAGTTTGTTCTGACTGTGACTGCAATGGGTGAGCGATCTCCGTGTCCTTATCTTAGCCCATGAGCTGCTTCATTGTTTTTTCTCCTCCTTGTCTTGCTGAGGAGGGGGAGTGAGAGAGCAGCTTGGTTGGCACCTGGCGGCCAGCTGAGTCCAGCCCACCACCTAGGTACAGAAGATTAGTATTATCTGGTCTCAAGTCAATTTCTCAGTAGCATAACCAGAAAATTAGCCAACTTCTGGCAGGGCAACACAGCTTACAGCAAAAGCCCATCTGCTCTGTAACAAGAAAACTATTATTTATCACTTCACAGTCTCCCCACAGCTGAACTCTGATCGCCAGTTACAGGACTGTAAATCCCACTCGGTCTGTGGCTCGTGTGCTCATGGCAGCAGTAGCGTGGCTCTCTTGGATTCTGAGCTGAGATGATAGCCCTGTCATGTTGGAGACAGGCACGCATACAACAATGTACTTGTAACAGCATAAAAAAGCTGTGAAGTCCTAAGTTGCTGAGAGCGCAGATGAACATCCTGATTTCTGCCAGCTTAACCCAGGTGATGTGTACCAGCCAGTAGATACTGCAGAGAGTTTTTTCAGGTCTTACAACTCTCCTACTAGGCCTTACAGGTGTTCTCCTGACTAAAGGGCAGTAATGATAAGCCACAAACTGTGATCTGTTGTTTCCCTCATTACTGTCATGGTGAAAGGAGGGAGGGTCTGGCCATGTGACTGTCCTTGTGATCATTATTACTTGCTATCCAAGCACTTCCAGTTCTCTCTCCCTGTTCTGCCTTGTGGCTAAGTTGCTTCAGTCCTCAGCAAGTTTATCATGAATCTCCATGGTCTCTCAGATGGAGAGAGATCGGTGTGTCCAGTTCTAGGCTCCCCAGCACAAGAGAAAGACGGACATATTGGGGAGAGTCCAGCAAAGGGCCACCAAGATGATGAACGAACTGGAGCATCTCTCCAATGTGGAAAGGCTGTGAGAGTTAGGACTGTTCAGCTCAGAGAAGAGAAAATTCAGGAAGATCTCAGAGTATATAAATATCTGATGGGAGGGTGCAAAGAGGAGGGAGACAGGCTCTTTTCAGTAGTGTCCAGTGAAAGGACAAGAAGGGAGCACAAACTGAAACACAGGAGGCTCCTTCTGAACATCAGGAAACACTTTTTCACAGGCTGCCCAGAGAGGTTGTAGAGTCTCCCTCCTTGAAACTACCCCAAAGCCACATGGTCCTGGGCATGCAGCTCTAGGTGGCCCTGCTTCAGCGGGGGGGTTGGACCAGCTGACCTCCAGAGGTCCCTTCCAACCTCAACCTTTTGGTAATCCTGTGAGAGCTCTACACTGCAGGCACATTACTATCATATACAGTGAAGGAAAGAGAAGTTGATTAGTCAGGAGAGAGAGAGAAATTTGCCAGGGATATTACAGGATTGTTTTTGAAGTAATGCCATAAACAATGCAAACCAAAAATGAGAATGAAGGATGTCTGGGCAACAGCCATCAATCTGCATAATAATTATTTTATCAGAGAAAACTGCTGAGACACAGTTAACTAAGAGGAATTACTTGGCTTTAGTTCAAATAATTACATATCAGAGATTACCGTCTCTCTCTCCAAATTCCAGATTCATTTCTTTGGTGCTGGTGCAAATCACACACCTTGAAACACTTATCCGACGCTGTGCTAAAGTTTGCTGAAAACACGGTGTCAGTTTCAGAAAGGCCTATTCCACCCAAATCCAACATCTAGAAAGCAGTACAAAATGGCAACCACTGCCATGGTATGAAAGCAGACGTGACAGAAATTAACAGCTACACAGAGGCCAAGATCTTTTTCTTCTCCATTCATTTTCCTTTGTTCTTCCACCTTCATCGTGTATCTTAAAACAGAAGCTTAGGCCCTTAGAGGTTCCCTAATCATTCTGGAAACTTAACATATGAATATTCCATTGGTTCACACGCAGTCTTAGTCTTGTAACTGTCATTGCCTTTGCTATGTTTTTTATTTTTTGCTTCCTGAGAAGTAAATTATGTCCTAGATGTGATCTAAACACTCTTTTTAGCTGTGGCCACCAACTGAAAGCAAGCAATTAAAAAATGGAAGACAGTCTCCTTCCTTACTACAGGGGCAACATCCATTCCAGAGATCTACTTCAAGAAGAGAAAGATATTTCTCAGAAAGCTGTTGGCCCAACTGGAAAGCAAATGCCTTCACCACATTTCCATGCATCCTTGCAATTAAGATGCTACTACAGTAAATCTTGGAAATCGGGCCCAGACAAAGCAGAGATCCTCTCAGTCCACTCTTACAAATCTAGTAGGTACATTGCTGTGTGTTTGAGCAAGTTTAAAACTTGGTTTGATGGTAAAAAAACAACTTTGAGTTCTATACTCTTCAGCTATGCACTGTGCCTTTTATAATAGAGAAATATCTGTTTTCAGATGGTGGCCACGCACAGCCAAACGCTTCTGAATAGCTCCTTAGCCTGTGAGAACCTGCTACTTCCCCATCTGAAATATAAACTCCTCTTGACTGCCACCTGATTGCTTAGAGGTAGTAATGCCTCCTTGACTACATTACAGTGCTCACCAGATCATAGCAATCTAAGTAATAAACATGCTGTCACACCTCAGAAACTACAAACAGCAAGGCCAAGCAAACATAACACCTGAATGTTGATGAATTGCTACCCCATCCAATGAGATTGGTGACATTCTCCTAGTGGTATCACTGGGTCTTGTTTTAATACCCAAAGGGCTTAGGAAACACAACGAAAGAAACAACCTTAAAGGAATAGTGGAGAAAACTTAAGCAGACAACCTTAGCAATAAGCTGGATGTTTAAAATTATCTTCTCTCCTGCTCTTTCTGCCTTCTTGGCAATGACTACTAATTGCTGCTAATTAATTTTAATTTATATTTTATATAGTTATACATTATTAATTGCAATTAATTACAATTATTAGCAACCATACTGGTACTATGAAGGGAAAAGAGGGGAGAGACTGGAAACCAAGCTTTCCTATTGAGAACACAGTACCTCCTAATACTAATGTCCAAGCTTCCAGCGAACTGTGCTTAACTTTTCACTGTCACAGAGAGTATAACATTCAACTGCTGGCTTCACTTCCACTTTCTCAGGCCTGCTGAGAAGTTGCACCAGACAAGTTTACTACATGTGGTTTTATACTCAGGCTGCAGTCATCAATTCTGTACTATCATGCAAAAAAAAAAAAAAAAAAAAAAGTGCAGAAATTCAGACATTTAATTCAGACACTTACATCCCACTGCTCATGGAATCAAACTCTCTGACTGCTAGAAAGCAACAAATTATTGCCATTTCAAACAAATAGGCAGAGTATAACTGCTAAACTAAGCATACTACACTGCTGTGCTAACTACTACCACCATACTGCCCTGGTTTTTTAGCACTAAACCAGAGCTGCGAGCAAACATAGTCCTGTAATCAGGGCTACGGATGCTCTCAGTTATGCTTAGCTGCAAAATCTTGTACAGACCCTTGTCTCCTTTCTCTGGTACTCTGTGTTGTGGTTAACATGCAAACCATGCAAATTCCTCTTCTTCACTATGATCTGGAAAGTTATTCTCAGGGTATCATCAAAGAGCTACTTTGTTTATTGGCTCCCCTTCTCCCCAGACAGAAGGAAGGAAGTGTATACCCCAGGCCCAGCGCATAACGGGGTGATCAATTGCCTTGTAATGTTTATAGCCAACAATATTTAACTAGCTGGCCAAAATGGCAAAGCTGTTGGTTGCAGTGAGTCTCCTGAGTATTTGGGAACCACTGCCAAGATCCTCTAATCTGTATGAATAATTTCTAAAGCTGAGTTGCCAGCCCTTGATTACTGCTGTATGAAAGACAGCATCAACCCTTCCTCCGTGTGTATCTGACCTTACAATGAAATTAAAGGTGTGCTCTACTCAGTGTAATTACACATAAACACTGTAGACAGTTCATTTAATTACATTACACTTTGCTTCTCTTACTGAGAGATCTGATGACCTTTTGTGTGGTATGAGAATCCCAAGCTCTGCATTATGACTAAGACAGGTAAATTCACTGAAGACAGTAAGAGAAAGACAGTAGAGGGAAAAACAAAAAAAAAAAAACAAAAAAAAAAAACCTTTGAACATTGTCAGCCTTTTGTGTCCATCTAATCTGCCTTTCATTTCTCTGGCTGACATCACCATAACATTG